CCTAATTCCAGAGGGGGGGGGGGAAATCCCAGACCACAAACAACAACAAAAAGTGGACATAGACAGTATCTGAGGAAAGACATTTGTCCCTTGGCATCCACATGCATGTAAACACATACACGTATACCTGCACACACAGCAAGACACACTTAAACTTGTGCTCCTCTGTTAATCTCGTCTGTGCTCAGTTATTAGAGTGCACTACTTCACTGGCTTGCAGGCATTTATTTATTTATTTAATCATCCATCTCTATCTATCTATCTCTATCTATCTCTATCTATCATCTATCTATCTATCTATCTATCTATCTATCTATCTATCTATCTATCTATCTATCTATCTTCAAGGCCAGAATTTTAACCACTAAATTGACTATTTTTTTAAAAAAGATAAATGCTGAAAAATGTTTTGTGATTTCTTCCGGCTACTTAGATTATATTAAATACAACTTAACCTAAAATATTTAAAAATTACTTTTTGTTTTGCTTGTATGTATCATGATCATACAGTGGTGCTCATGGAGGCCAGAAGAAGTGCATTGGATCCCCTGGAACTAGATGGTTATGAGCGGCTGTGTGGGTGTTGGGAATTGAACCCAGATCCTTTGGAAGAGAGCCAGTGCCCTTATCTGCTAAGCCATCTTGTCTATTCCAACCCCATTTCCCCTTTTTTCCCTCTTAAAATCAGATTGATAAAGAGAGGCAAAAGCCTTGGACTTAGATTCCATCAAATGTTCCCAACCTTTTGACATTATGACATGATGTGCTTGTGATGATCTGTCCTGTCCCTTTAAGAGACAAGTCCCACCCACTCCCACCCCTGTCCGCTGAGGCAAGCAGATCTTTCTTCCACTTTTAGCCTAAGTACTTTCCTTCCCATCTCTCCTGAAGAGGCAGCTTCTGCCTCTCCCCCTTCTCACTTCTTCCCTTCTACCCCTCTGTTTCTCTTTCTCTCTGCCTCTCTCTCTGCTCTTCTCCCTTTTCCCCTTCCCCCTTTCCCTTTCCCATCTGTAACACCCGATTTAGTGTTACGCCGCTGGTACAGTTCGTGCGCCACTGCACCGAACGAGTAGAGCAAGGGCCTGGAGGTTGAAAAGAACACACAGAGAGACCAGGGTCATTCGAAAGGAGACCAGCCAAATGCCAGTTTATTCAGCATTGGGGGAGTCTTTATCTACCTAACTGCAGCACAAGGGTCTCCGCCTAGGCAGGTGGGAAATGACCATATTAACAATGGAGTGAATGCCCTGCAGCTAACCACCAGGGGGGCAGGAAAAGCACAGAAACACACAGGAATCTTAGTTGATCATAAACTGTCCCTGCGAATGCACCCCAGGAATAAGGGAGACCAGGGCCCTACACCCACTAAATAAATACCCACTTTCTCTGCATGATGTGCCTAATAGGTCTCTGTCTCTCACCTGCCTGGGACCGGCTGCCTTCATGGCCCACCATGGTCTCAGGACCCCCTGCCCTCTGCTGCCACTTGGGGACCTGCAGCGTTTTATTTTTACCATAACAGTGCTCTCATTTGCAAAGTTCATGCTTGAAAATAAAATTACACAGTTGAGTTATGAAAAAAAATCACAAAAGTTTAATCTTTTAAGCTTATGATTATGTGTTGGGCTGTAATTGTGGATGTCATTGACTGCATATGACCCATGTTGGACATGCCTTGTATCTGGTTAGTAGTGCAACTTTAACGTTTTTTATTCTATTTCATTTGTAAATAGTGTGAAGTTGAGTGAGATTTATAAGTTCATTTATAGCTCTGTCCCAATGTTGTCTCCAAACACTCCTTTATTATGTTATTGTGTGAAGTTGTCAGAGGTTGTATGTGCAGAGGAGTTTCCCTCTGTGTAAACCTTGACCAAGTTAGCAGTCAGAATTCCTTCGAAATATAACTTCTCTTGTGTTGTTTTTGTTTTGTTTGCTTTCAATCTTCTTCCTTAATTTTGTTGGCTTGATACAGAGTAAAGTTTATGGACTTCAGTTCTTGATATGTTTTTGGTTGTGAACCTAGCTTTTGCTGGCTGAGCCATCTCTCCAGCCTGTAGACTTTCAGTTCTTACTGAACACAAAGCAATCTTTTTAGCTACTGGAGTCACAGCTACATATTGAATGGTTAACCCTCTTAGAATAAAATAGTGTTGAGAATGGGAGGTGCTGAAGACTACATGGATTTTATATGGCTGTTCTAGATTTAGTGAAATGAACATTTTTGCGATATCACATTTCAAGAAATTGTTTTAGTAGTACTTGTTTGGTTTAATCTTAAGAGAAGATGCTCCGCTGACGCAATAATAACTCCAATTAAACCAGATTAGACTAAATTAAAATGCTTGTGTTTAATAAATACAGTACTCGGGTGGCCGGGAGCATGGTGAGGGAGAGACAGATAGAGGGGGGTACCCATGCAAACCCCAAAATCACGTGTTCCCTTCTCCAAGGCAAGCCTAAATACCCTGTGGGAGAGGTCCTGACCCTTCCGGGGAGGGGTCATGGTGTAGTAGATCCTTCTGTATTTGTGTTGCTTTCATTGGTTGAATAAAGAAAGCCTTGGCCTTTTGATAGGGCAGAACTTAGATAGGCAGGGATGACAGAACTGGATGCTGGGAAGAAGGACAGACAGGCAGACACCATGGTTCTCCTAACCCAAGATGGCGGGACGCGGCCTGCTCCCCCTCGTACTACAGATCTAGAACTGAACTCAGATGGCACTCTTCTATGTCTTTCTTGCTCTATTTCTATCTTACAATCAGATCTCTAACTTCTTTGTATAATCTCCCCGCAAGATATTTATCTCTCTCTCTCTCTCTCTCTCTCTCTCTCTCTCTCTCTCTCTCTCTCTCTCTCTCTCTCCCTCGCACACAGGTTCAAATAAAAGTGTGATTACTGCACATATATGAAGAGAAAGCACAAGTACTTTTGAGTTGAAAGTTTCACCCCAGCCTGCCAGGGGCTTGGACTCCAACTCCCACCCTGCCAAGCACTGACCCTGTAGTAAGGAGGAGCAGGCTGCGTCCAATTCCAGACTGGCTTATACCTGGGCCGGTGGGCTGCTTGTTGTCCTGGCCACCTGGCTAATTTATACCCGAAATAACCACACAGAAAACTATTAATTAAATTACTGCCTGGACATTAGCTTTAATTTCTTATTGGCTAACTCTTACATCTTGATCTAACCCATTTTTATTAACCTGTGTTCACCACAAAGTCGTGGCTTACTGGGAAAGATTCTAACCAGCGTCAGTCTCAGGCAGGAGAATCGTGGCGTCTGTCACACTGCCCTTTTTTTGTAGACCAGGCTGGCCTTGAAATCACAGAGATCTGCCTATCTCTGCCTCCCAAGTACTGGAATTAAAGTCGTGTGCCACCAATGCCTGGCAGGTTTCCATATTTGAAGCCAACTTAAAGGCTATTGTTTAGATGAGGAGGAAGCTATTTCTTTTGCATTTTTTGTAGCCTTTTTATTCTGATAGCTGCATTATTAAAGGTTGGGATCTGCCCTTGTTTGTTTATATAGTGGGGGCTTATTTCACCCATGCTCAGAATTTTTTTCTGAGTAAAATAAAATCTCATGAGCTAACCTGGGTAGCAGAATGATTATTAAGGCTTCTGAAGGTAATCCAGGGAGTGGATATTCAGGAATAATGAAGCAATGAAGCCAAAATCTAGTAGAGTTTCAAGTCTGGGGCATGAATAAATATAGGTCAAGGGGATGCTTGAGTGTATGGGTCATGTTCCATCCCTTTTCATTTTGTCCCTGCTTCCTCCTTAAGTAGTTAAAGAACAGAGCCAGGAGAGTATTCTGAACTTTAGTCCTAAAAACAAAGGATGAACATTATGCCAACATGTATTGTCAATCTAATGGTAGTATTAAGTAGAAAAATATGATAAATCAGTATATTGTTAATATTAAGATGCTTGATGCATTGAGTTTTCATGTAGGTCTGACAAAATACCAAGTTTTTATTGTAAATCTGATGGTTACTTGAAGCATTATTACCATCAGTAGAAATATTGCTTTGTTTGGTGGTGACTCTTCAGTGAGTCTGTCTGCCTTGCAAATACATTTATGTCAAGGAGGTCCAATGATCCAGTTGCCACACTAACTACCAGGAGGGTTGTTTTTTTCTGCCCATATTCCTTAGACTTCTGGACTTAGACCGCTTTTGTTTGAGATAATATAATTATTAAAAGAGAGAGAGAGGCCCAATAGATGGTATAGTGGTTAAAAGCAAAAAGTGATCTGCCATAGGACTGGTGTTCATTTCTAGCACCCATGTATATATGCAAGGCTTTCTTTTTTCGGAGACTTATTATTAGTTATGAATGTTTGGCTTAACTTAGGCTCGTTTCTGGCTAGCTCTTTTAACTTAAAATTAACCTCTCTTTATTTATTTTTGCCTGGGGGCCTTTTACCTTTCTGTATATTTTACTTTCACTGCTTCTTGTGTCTGGCTGGAGGCTGCCTGTCTTTTGGGCATGTCCCTTTATTTCTCCCTTCTCTTCTCAAGCCTAGATTTTTCCTCCTATTTATTCTCTGTTCCTGACAGTTCCACCTATCATTTCTCTGCCTGGATATTGGCCGTTCAGCTTTTTACTAGACCAACCAGACAAGGTGAAACAAATGCACAGACAAGGTGAAACAAATACAACATATCTTTGCATTCGAAGAAAGGCAGAAGAACAAATGTAACACATCTTTACATAGTTAAGTATTCCACAGCACAGGTAGCTTGGAACTACTTGTAACTCCAGCTCCAAGGGATCGAATGTTATTTTCTGGGTTCCTTGAGCTCCCACATAAACATGGCACACACAGAGATACAAATAAACATAAACATAAGTAAATAAATGATAAAAGAGATAAGGTAAATTTTGTCAATAAAGTTTTTTTCTTTGAAATCCATATAGATCATGCTTATGGGTTCCACATTTAGATTTGAAACTAATTGTAGACAAGTTAAAAAGTTTTTTTCTTTTTTTTCTTGCAGGTGTAATCCAGAGAACAGTTTTCAAACATCTTTGCTTACTTTTGACACTGAGCAGTTGGGATTTAGGCATATGAGGAGGTACTGTCACTCAAAACAGTGTCTAGTGAAGACGACAAGAAAGAGAGAAAAGGATCGGAAAAAGAAGCTAAAATCCCATAGGAAACCATGGTGGGTGATTACTGGTATTTCTTCATTTTTTTAGTTATAAAAATTATGTATAATGTAAAATTGGCAATGTTAACAGTAAGGGTAGATAGTGAACAGTTGTCTTGGTTTCAGTGCCTCAGACAAATATGGTTGCTCTACTATTTTTACTTGGTATATGTATGAAGGTCAGAGAATGACTTAAAGAAGTTGGGTCTCTCCCTTCTACTATGTGGGTCCCATGGATCAAGCTAAGGTTGTTAGACTTTTCTAATCTTTAAGAAAAGATGAAGGGGCTGGGGAGGTGGTTCAGAGATTAAGAGCATTTTCTGCAATAAACTTGGATTGGGTTCTCAGCAGGCATTTGGTGGCTCACAACCATTTGTAACACCAGTTCTGAATGATCCAATGCCCTCTTCTGGCTTCCGTGTGTACTGCATGTGTGTGGTGCACAGTCACACATGCTATGCTGTGTGGCAAAAAGCACCCACACATATAAAATTAATAATACACAAATCTTAGCAAAAAATAATAAATATTAACAACAACAGAAAAATTAGAAACCACATTTTAGAGCCCAAGCTATGGCTACTGTATGCCATAACTCACTAAATACAAAGAGTACGAATACTAAACAGTATTTTAGAATAAAACTGGCATTAACAAATTACTGTAGTTCAGTAGTCTTGAACTTTAAGTAATATCTATCTAGACCTTTACATGAAGTTCTGATGAAATTTAAATAATTTTTCTTCCTCATGAAAATTAAATAATTTATCCAAATGAATGGTGGAAGAGTTTCTAAAACATGAATTATAACTGGAAAGGTACCACTTTTACATGCTTTTAATATAATAGAGTTAATTGTTGGGCATACTAAGGAGTGTTAGAGTGGATGTCAAGGAAGTTTGGGTTTTGTGAGAGGTAAGACTTTGAATTCATGGTGTTAGATGAGGTCTTGGTCCTTACATTTTTAAATTACATTTTTGTGTATTGCGTGTATTCTGTGTGTACATGAATTTGCATGCCATAGCATATATATGTAGGTCAGAGGACAACTTACAGGAATTGGGTCTCTTCCTTTTACTATGTGGGTGCCATGGATCAAGCTCAGGTTGTCAGGCTTGGTTGCAGGTGCCTTTACCAGCTGAGCCCATCCACCAACTGGTGCCTAGGTAAGATTTGCTGAGTTTTTACCCTTCATATTTTAGTTATACAGAATATTGTGTAAATTTTTCCCCCAAGTACGTGGTTTTAAAAGACATTGTAAGTTAGGAGAAAAAGAATAAAATATTAATTACCAGTGTATTTTTAAACATATTGTTTAGCAAGTATGATAGTATTTCTTTAGATGTTAAATGCTTCTAAAAAGTATTTTGCCAAGGTCTGAAAGCAGCTAATTTGCTTTTATGGAGAAGAAATTCTGTAATATCTTAGTTCAGAATGGTGGGAAAAAAATGTTAACTTGGGTTTTTCTCTGTTGATCTCTGTTTTTTTTGGTGAAATACAGAAAAAAAAACAGTGTGACTTGTGTTGCCTTCCTTGTGAATTATCTGCTTCTAGCAGAATTTAGTTTTGTTTTAATTGTAGTCTTTATAGTCCTATGATTTAATGTCATATATATATAATATGTTGTAATAGGAAGCGGTGGGCCGCTTCCCGCCACCCGGCTAGCTTTACCCAAAATAATTACATGGAAACTATTCTTTTAAACACTGCTTGGCCCATTAGCTCTAGCCTCTTATTGGCTAGCTCTTACATATTGATCTAACCCATTTCTAATAATCTTTGTAGCCCACAAGGTGGCTTATCAGGAAAGATCTTAACCTGCGTCTGTCTGGAGTGGGAGAATCATGGCGACTGCCTGACTCAGCTTCTTTCTCCCAGCATTCTGTTCTGTCTACTCCACCTACCTAATTTTCTGTCCTATCAGAGGCCAAGCAGTTTCTTTATTACTTAACCAATGAAACAACAGATAGAAAGATGACCCTCCTCCATCAATAATACATATATAAAGCTTTTTTGTAATTAATTTTAGCTTAGGTGATGTAAAAATTTTGTGTTCTAATTAATTTCATTCATCATTTTTTGGTTTTTAGTGCTGCTTTTGATTTTTAAGATTCAATGATCATTTTTCTGTTTTATTGTATAGTTCTTCTGGTCTAATTATTTTAATACTTAAATATGTTTGTCTGGAGCTTATTGGAATAAATCTTTCAGTGATTTTGATGGTGAATGCAATACATGTGTTAATTAGCTTGGGAAATTGATTGCTTTGGAATATGTATTTTCCTTGTTATGAAATTTGGAGTTCTTCTTGTTCAAACTCTTACATCAAAGATTTGAATGTCAAATGCTAAACATTTTTGTAGTGGCTTCCACATTCACATTATAAATTTGCATCTTTTATTTTTACTCTGTTATATAGTCTTAATTAAAGTGTGCAAATCTCTAGCGCTTTGGGAGGTAGCCAGGTGTCATGTTGTGAAGAACCATTTATTCCTAGAGAAATGAATTTATTTTTTTCCTTCCTCGATACAAGGTTTCTCTATGTAGCCCTGACTGTCCTGGCTGTGTAGACCAGGCTGGCCTTGAATTCACAGAGCTCTGTTTGCTTCTGCCTCCCCAGTGCTGGGATTAAAGGCATGTATCACCACCGCTTCTGCATTTCTAGAGATTCTTGAAGCTACAATGTCATGTGGTATTTGTGGTATGGATTTTTTTTTCTTGTTCTTTTTTTGGAAGGGTTATCAGAAAGCACAGGTTCAGTGCTTAGTGTGACTGATGTGAATATTATCATCACATGAGTGAAATAACTGCTATTTTTTTGGGTGCGGTTTAATAAAATAGGACTTACACATTTATGCACATTTTTTATTATTTGAACATTAACTGTTTTATAGTGGTTATCAGTTGGTGCCATGTTGTCTTAAAACACTGTTATCCTTTCAAGGTGACATTTCTTTTGTTAAAGTTTTTCTCCCCCCCTTCTAACAGAGATCTATTAGATCTTTTGCCAATGACGATCGCCATGTTATGGTGAAGCATTCAACAATCTATCCATCTCCGGAGGAGCTTGAAGCTGTTCAGAATATGGTGTCTACTGTTGAATGTGCTCTTAAACATGTCTCAGACTGGCTGGATGAGAATAAAGGCACAAAAACTGATGGGGAGACAGAAGTAAAGAAAGATGAGGCTGTGGAAAACTATTCCAAGTGAGTGTTGAATAGCTTTTATCAAGCTTTGCTTGAAAAGCTTGTGGGTACTCTGATTTGGTGATGTACTTGCTGTTCTTTGAATTTTATCATATGTGACATAACCAAGAAAGTAAATGTTTCATGGAATTTTTTTTTCTGAGTTAAATTCTGTAAGAAAGTGAGGAAGAGTAATTAGTAGAATCAGAAAAAAGATAGTTCTTACAGGACCCCTTTTGATAGTACACTAATGTTTGAAGATTATGATAGTTCATTTGCTATGTTGGTTTAGCCTCCTAAGTTCTAAAATAAATAGTAATAAATAGTAATATTTTCTGTTTCAAGAAAGTCAGAAACACTCTTTCTAGCTGGGCATGGTGGCGCATGCCTTTAGTTCCAGCATGCCAGAGGCAGAGGCAGGTGGACAGTCTGGTCTATATAGTGAACTTCAGTTCAGTCAGGGCTACATAATGAGACCCTGTCTCAAAACAAAACAAAATAAAAAATACTGTTTCTGTTGGACATTTTGAAATCATAGTATAGGAAAATATACTAGCAACATTAACTGTATTTACTTTGTTAATTCATAGAATGTATCAGTATCTTTGCACATTGTTACATAGTGTTAATGTTCATTTTGTGTTATTTGTAGAAGGAAGGACTAATGGAAGCCTGGCCTTCTAACAGTTACATGAGAAGTATTTTAGGCAGTAATAGTAGTGATCCATAAGATGAAACCACTCTGCTGCCTGCAGTCAGATCATGAGATTTTATGTCATGCTAGTTTGGAGGTATTGTTTTGAGCACTGTTTTTTTTGTTTGTTTGTTTGTTTTTCGAGACAGGGTTTCTCTGTGGTTTTGGAGCCTGTCCTGGAACTAGCTCTTGTAGACCAGGCTGGTCTCAAACTCACAGAGATCCTCCTGCCTCTGCCTCCTGAGTGCTGGGATTAAAGGCGTGCGCCACCACCGCCCGGCTTGAGCACTGTTGTTATGATTAGAGTAAGTCCTCCTATTCTTGGAAAATAAAGTTTATTTGATTGGTTGTACCATTTTTATAGGTTTAAAACATTACTTTAGTTTTGGTTTATATAAGTGAAAAATAAGACTTCAGAATTTCTCCTCAGCTTTCAGTTTTGTTTCACTGTGGTGAGTAGACAAGGAAGAGTAGAATAGAATTGGTAAATGGATGGTCTATATTGAAAGATAGTGCGACTTTTTCCTCTTTAGTTCAAAGACAAGCAGTGAGCTTCATGCTGAAGAGCATGGCAACTGACATGTAACTGCACACTGGAGTGTGTCTCAGTTTGTAGGTTCTTGTAAGTAACCCAGCGTTTCTCAAATATGATGCTTTAACATGGTAATTCTTTAATTTGGGGCTCATGGTAATGATATTTTCCAGTGATTAGATTACTTAGGGACCTACATAGTGAGGCTTTTTCTGTATGTATTTTAGTTCTTAGGCAAGTTAAGTCATTAATGGTTTCCAGATTTTAATTCTAGTATTTATGCTGGGGTTTTTTTTTCAAGATTTTTAAAAATTAGGACTTTTATACACAGGATTCCCGTTCCTATTCTTTATTATTGAGATTGGCTTAGTTGTAGAAAGCAATCAGACAATTTTCTGAGTTAGATGAAATTACTTTGCTTTAAATAAATGCTTTAAAAAGAATATGTGATCTACACTTTCAGTCTTTAAAATACAGCTTTATGTTTGGATACTCTTCGTTGTCTGTGTCAAGTCTTTGCGTTTGTGGAAAAATTTCAGGTTGGGTACTTGTCTGTAATTTCTTGCCACATGGTAGAACTCAAGGAGTACCGAGTAGATCTGTTCATTACTCTGTGTAAACCAAGGGCTGATGTATCTTACATTTAGAGTTGTGTTCCATAGACACCCGTATTTGGGCTCCTAGTCTACAATAAATGCTTCAAAGAGCATGAAGATCAGCAAGACCAGGCAGAGCATTGTTAAGCACAATCTAGTGTCAAGCTCTTAAGCATAGCTGCTGTCTGTGCTTTTCCTTGAATTTATTTGTTTACCTTTTTACAGTCTTGACTCCAAAGTCAAATCAGGGGCATTAGGTCCCACAATTTATATGATTAGCAATGTCAGAACTGTTTTCTCAGTTTATTTTATTGATTTACTTGTTTTCCAGTAACTGTTATATTCAAATTTATCATTTAAGTTCAGGACTTTAGAATTAGGAATTAGTTTGCTCAATCATATTGTCTTTTACATGTGGGATAAGATGAGACATGTTATAACTATAATTTAGAATTTAATAAGTGCGCTTATTACTTACATTACTGTGTGCAACCTACTTTTTCCAGATCATTTTTCATTATTTCAATAAACCAACTAGCCTGTTATTATTTTGTGTGTGTATGTGTGCGTGTGTGCGTGTTGGCAAAAGTAGTCTCTGTGTCTTCCAGATTCCCTTGCTTCCTTTTTCCTGTTACTTATGTTAGTAGGAGTGGTCTTGAGCATTCTAGGCAAGTGCTCTACCATTGAGCTATATATCATCCATTTTTTTCTTAGTATCTATGCTTAAGTTTCCTCTGGATAAATTAAAGAAGAGGGAGATAAAATGCTGTTGTTTCTAGTAATCAGAAAAAGCTTTATGAGCCTGACATTGGTGGCACATGCCTTTAATTATAGCAGTTGGGAGGTATAGGAAGGTAGATCTCTTAAGTTTAGCCTAGTCTATAGAGCCATTTCAGTTCTAGTACAGCCAGGGCTACAAAGAGAAAGTCTGTCTTTTTTTAAAAAAAAAAGTCAGGGAGGGGAGGGAAAGAAAAACACTTTATTATAGAGGTAGTATTTGGAAATGGCTCAGAGGATCTGGTAGGGTTTTGGTAACAGTGAAGGCAAAGCAAAAATCTCTGCAAAGGTTTAGATGTGAAATAAATATAAGAACTGTTTGAGAAATAGTTGTTATTCAGTAAATAGTAAAGGTTTTAATGTATGTTGAGCTCTGACAAAGTTCCTTGCTTATGTTGAATTCTATGAGAATTGCTATATGAGAAAAGGTTTAGTCCTGTTTTATGGAGAAACAGGTTCAAAGAAGTCAAGTATGTGTAATCCATCCTCTCTCACACAGTCATAGAGCCAGAGTGTAAACCAGGAAGCCAAGAGGCCTTCTAGATTGCCTGCTACACTGTGTTGAATGTCCAAATGTTCACAGGGACATAAAGGAAAATATGTGGGATGTTACCCAAAATAGTGGTTTGGAGAGATTTTGCAGTATTCTGCATGTAATAGTGTAGTTATATATGTATTTTGATAAACAAATCTTTCCTGAAGACCGGAGGCAGAGCTAAAGCCTCTAGAGGTCAGGCAATGGTGATACACATCTTTAATCCCAGCACTAGAGGGAATAAAAAATGGGGGGGGGGTAGAGAGAGGCTTAGCCTGTTTAGTTTGCGGTTGTCCAGCCATGGTAGAGGTAAGACTTCTCTAGTGGCTTGACTGCTTTGCTTTTCAGACCTTCAGGCAAGATTTATTTACTAAAATACAAATAATATAATAAATCAAAGGTGCTAGAGGTAAGGCTGGTAAGGAAGGGGTTATCGAAATACTCTAGTGAGAATTTGAACAGACTAGTTTGAAGACAAGATTTTTCAAGGTGACTATGGAGAAGGGACTATACACATTAGTGAGACAGAGTAAGAAACAGTTCAAGATTACTGGTGGCATTCCAGTAGTTACTTGCATTTGTCTCCATCTCGACTTACACTGTCTTTATTACCTTAATGTTTATTGAATCTCTACGATGGCTCAGGCACTGAGTGGGTAGTTAATTTTTAACTTCCCGTCTAATTTGCATCACAGTATAGTACTGTCTTCTTCATTTCATTCTCATTTTCACTTTCTTTTGACTAACTGGCAATTCTTTGCTAAACCATGCCCCTTCCAGTCTAGTCAAACTTTACTTGCTTGTCATCTGTAATTGTAACTATTTCTTTAGAAGCAACCACAGAATGTAAAGAGCCTGACTGTTATGGTCAAGTCTCCAGAGTTTAAGTTCAGGCATTGATATGCTACTTAAAAAGAAAATAAGTTTATTTATCATGTATGTTGGGGTAGTGGTGTGGTGTGTGTGTGCATATGTGAGTATATGGCATGTGTGCTTCACATGTTGGGGCCATAGGTTGATGTTGGGTTCTCTTTCATTTTTTCCCTCTGTCCCACATTCTTTAAAATGTTTTAAGATGTCTCTCACTGGACACCAACCACCAGGGAATGTTCCCATATCTCTTTCCCTAGTGTTCCTGCACTCAGCTTTTTTGTGGGTGCTGGGGATTAGATTTTAGGCCATCATCAGTGGGTGAAGCAAACACTTCACCCACTGAGCCATTTCCCCCAATTTTTCTCATATGTTCTTTAGTTACTGCTAAAATTTACAGAAGCGTAAAAATAGTAGTTTGAAAAAATATTGGAGGTGTTTGAATATTCTTGGGATTCTTGAGTAATAGAGGTGTCATAATGAATTAAAATACCTATAGTGTGACATGATCCTTGTTCAATTTTTAGGGAAAAGTAACTTTAAATGTGAGAGCCTTAAATCTCAGGTTTAATTTGTAGATTTTTGAATGTATATAGTAGTTTATTTATGTAGGTATCCAGGAAGGCAATGTATGATTAATTGTAGTTTGGGAAATAGGTTATAGAAAAAATAATAATACTGCCTTTTTATTTGTAGGGATCAAGGTGGCCGGACATTGTGTGGTGTAATGAGGATTGGCTTGGTTGCAAAAGGCTTGCTGATTAAAGATGATATGGACCTCGAGCTGGTTTTAATGTGCAAAGACAAACCCACGGAAACCCTGCTAAATACAGTCAAAGATAACCTTCCTGTTCAAATTCAGGTAAGAAGTGTTTAACTGCATTTGAGAATTTGTAAAGAGTTGAGAAACAGTGATCTTGATGACTATTAACAAGAATTGGTAAGTCAGAGATAGTTATTAAAAAAAAGAATGCCAGTGTTATTTGGTCAGTGATGAACTCACATTTAAAGTACATTTCTGGTGACTTATACTCAGGATATATTTACCAAAATAAGTCTTAAACCTTACATGCATGTCTTGCTGAGACTCTATATCTCCCTACCCCCATTTTGTATATGTCTCTAAGTATTATAAAATTCATGGAAGAGTTGGCGAGGTACTACAAAGAAGGTCCAGCCCTGGCGGAGGTGGTGCATGCCTTTAATCTTAGTACTCAGGAGTCAGTGGCAGGTGGATCTCTGAGTTTGAGGACACCCTGATCTACAGAGTGAGTTCCAGGCTGTCCTGGAACTCACTGTCTCTAAACCCTCCCCCATCCAAAAAAAAAATCCACACAACTGTAGATAATTTCATAATGATACCTTAAAATTATTTTGAATTTAAAAATGATTTGAAGATTTGGGGCCTGGAGAGAGATGACTCAGGTTAAGAGCATCATCTACTCTTAATGAGGTTTTGAATTCAGTTCTCAGCAACCACAAGGTACCTCACAACTATCTATAATGATCTGGTGCCCTCTTCTGGCCTGCAGGCATACATGCAGGCAGAACACTGTATAAGTAATAAGTAGATAGTTTAAAAAGATGAAAGATTTGGTTAAATTTTAAATGTATTATTATGTGTGTGTGTGTGTTTGTGCATATGTGTGAAGCCAGAGGACAACTTTGTGGGGTCAGTTCCCTCTTCTTCCCTTTTTTTCAAAAATATTTTATTTAAATATTTATTTATTATGTATACAATATTCTGTCTGTGTGTATGCCTGCAGGCCAGAAGAGGGCATCAGACCCCTTTACAGATGGTTGTGAGCCACCATGTGGTTGCTGGGAATTGAACTCAGGACCTTTGGAAGAGCAGGCAATGCTCTTAACCTCTGAGCCATCTCTCCAGCTCCCCAACCCCCTTCTTACCTTTGTGTGGATTTTGGGGACTGAACTTAGGCTATCAAGCTAGCATACCAAACACTTTGACCTCTTTCAGGTCTTAAGAATTAGTTAATTTAAAGTCATGCATTTCTTTTTTTTTTAAATGAAGCCATTAAGATTTATTTGTTTGTTTATTTATTTATTTATTATGTATACAATATTCTGCCTGAAGGGCAAAAGAGGGCACCAGACCTCATTACAGATCAGATGGTTGTGAGCCACCATGTGGTTGCTGGGAATTGAACTCAGGACCTTTGGAAGAGCAGGCAATGCTCTTAACCACTGAGCCATCTCTCCAGCCCAGTCATGCATTTCTTAAGTTTATAGAAAGTTACTCTTCCTGGTTTGTTTCCAAGTTGTTTTCCCATCGGGTTGGGTTTAGAAAGTTTTAATGTTGGCCTGCTTTTGGGCCTTGGCCACCCTAAGACCCACCTTGCCCACCTATCACAGAGATGTATTCAACATTGATTAGGAAGTTGAGATTGTCTTTCATTTCAGTTATGTGTTACCTGTAATCTATTGGATTGTACTTACTTGGTAATTTAGACTATCTTCATATCTGTATCACAGAAATAGATGTTAGCCCATATAAGTCTAAAGTTTTTTTTGAGTTGGTAAATGCTCACTTGTCTGCCCATGCTTGCTTGCTTCATTCATTCTTGAAAAATAATATATTTTTAAGGATTTTTATTTTTTAATCTTTCTAAAAACAATCTTAATTTATATAGCAATCCCAGTACCCTCTCCCTCCGGGTCTTTCCACTCCTCCCACCTTCTCCCCACCACTCTCCTTATCCACTCCACAGAGAGGGTGATGCCTCCCATGGGGAGCCAACAAAGTCTGTTACATCACTTGAGGCAAGACCTCCCTGTGTCTAGGCTGAGCAAGGTATCCCTCCCTCCATAGGGAATGGGCTTCAAAGAGCCAGATCATGTACTAGGGATAAATACTGGTTCCACTGCTAGTTCCTCCACAAACTGCCTATGCAGTGCAGCTGTCACCCACATTTAGAGGGTCTAGTTTGGTCTTAGACTGTCAGTCTGGGCTCAGTGAGCTCCCACTAGCTCAAGTCAGCTGTTTCTGTGGCTATCCCCATCATAGTCTTGGCTCCTTTGCTCATAATATTGCTCCTCCAGGAGTTCAGCTTAGCTGTGAATCTTTGCATCTGCTTCCATCAGTTACTGGATGAAGTTTCTATAATGACAATTAAGGTAGTCATCAATCTGACTACAGAGGAGGGCCATTTGAGGCAACCTCTCCACTATTGCTAGGAGTCTTAGCTGAGGTCATCATTGTGGATTCCTGGGAGTTTCCCTAGTCCCTGGTTTCTTGCTAACCCCACAATGACTCCCTCTTTTAAGGTATCTCTTTTCCTTGCTCTCCCTCTCTGTTCTTTACCCAACTCAATTTTCTTGATCCCTCATGTTCTTCTCCCCCTCTACCCTTTTCCCCTCCCCGTTCTCCTTTCAACCTCCCCATACTCTACCCACACTGCCAATTTACTAAGGAGATTTTGTCTACTTCCGCTTCCCAGGGGGAGGATCCATGTATGTCTCTCTTAGGGTTCTCTTTGTTTCCTGTCTTATCTGGGTTGTAGGCTGTACGCTCGTTATCTTTTGTTTTATGTCTGATATCCACTTACATACCATATTTGTCTTTCTGTGTCTGGGTTACCTTACTCAGGATGTTTTTTTCTAGTTCCATCCATCTGCCTGCAAATTTCAAGATGTCATTTTTTTAAATGCTGAGTAGTAATCCATTGTGTAAACGTACCACATTTTCTTTATCCATTTTTTTTATTAATTTTTTTTAATTAGAAATTTCCACCTCTCCACCTCCTTTTTCCCTTCCCCTCCCCCCACTCCCTTCCTCTCCAATCCAAAGAGCAGTCTGGGTTCCCTGCCCTGTGGGTAGTCCAAGGTCCTCCCCCCTCCATCCAGGTTTAGGAACATTCTTATCCATTCTTTGGTTGAGGAGCATCTAGGTTGTTTCCAGGTTCTGGCTATTATGAATAATGCTGCTATGAACACAGTTGAGCAGATATCCTTGTGGTATGGGTTTATATCCTTTGGTATATGCCCAAGAGTGGTATTTCTGTGTTTTGAGGTAGATTGATTCCCAATTTTTTGAGAAACCGCCATACAGTGGCTGTACAAATTTGCACTCCCATCAGCAATGGCGGAATGTTCCCTTTACTCTACATCCTCTTTAACATAGGCTGTGGTTAGTGTTTTTGATCTTAACCATTCTGGCTAGTGTAAGATGGTATCTCAGTCATTTTGATTTGCATTTCCCTGATGGCTAAGGATGTTGAGCATTTCCTTAAGTGGCTTTTGATCATTATAGAGAATCCTTTGTTGAGAATTCTCTGTTTAGATCTGTACTCCATTTTAATTGGATTATTTGATATTTTGATACCTAGTTTCTTGAGTTCTTTGTGTATTTTGTAGATCAGCTCTCTCTCCAAAGTGGGGTTGGTGAAATTTTTTTTCCCATTCTGTAGGCTGTCGTTTTGTCTTGGTGACTATGTCCTTTGCCTTACTTAAGCTTCTCAGTTTTAGGAGGTTCCATATATTGTCGATCTCAGTGTCTGTGCTACTGGGGTTATAATTAGGAAGCGGTCTCCTGTGCCTATGCGTTCAAGACTAGTTCTTACTTTCTCTTCTCTGAGGTTCAATGTGACTAGATTTGTTGAGGTCTTTGATCCATTTGGATTTGAGTTTTGTGCTAGATGATAGATATGGATCTGTTTGCATTCTTCTACATGTCGACATCCAGTTATACCAGCACCATTTGTTGAAGATGCTTTCCTTTTTCCATTGTACAATTTTGGCTTCTTTGTCAAAAGTCAGGTGTTCATAGGTGTGCAGATTAAATATAAGGCTCTTTGATTTGATTCGATTGGTCCACCTGTCGGTGTTTGTACCAATACCAAATTGTTTTCATTCATTCTCCATAGTAGAGATTGAAGTTTGGGATGGTGTACAGGACTGTTTTGGTTATTCTAAGTTTTTTTGTTTTTCCATATGAAATTGAATTGTTTTGGGATTTTGATGTGGATTGCATTGAATATGTAGATTGTTTTTGGAAAGATTGACATTTTTACTTTGTTGATTCTACTTGTCCAAGAACATGGGAGATCTTTCCATTTTCTGATATCTTCTTCAATTTCTTTAAAGACTTGAGGTTGTTGTCATACAGGTCTTTCACTTGTTTAGTTAGAGTTACCCTGAGATATTTTATGTTGTTTTAAACATAAACATAAAATAAAAAAAATTATTTTTATTTTATGTGTATGAGTGTTTTCCCACTGTGTGTGTATGGGTGGTCAGAAGACAACACTGGATCCCCTGGAACTGGAATTAACAAACAGTTGTGAACTGACGTGTTGTTTTTGGAAACTGAGCCTGGGTCTTTTGGAAGAGCAGCCAGTGCTCTTAATTGAGCCATCTCTCTAGCCCTGTTTTGTTTCTTTTTAAATTTGTATTCCTTTTAAATGAGGCAGATGCCTAAAAAAAAAAAAAAACAAAAAAACATGTTTTTGTTCCTGATTTATTTAAGTGTGATTTTTTAAATTTGCAAACTTAAAAAAAAATACAAAAATCAGTGTATATTTATTGTATAAAATCTTAGATTTTTTTGGGTCATTCTTATATATATGAACCATGTGCTTTGACCTATTCACCCATTTGTTTCCTTCTTTTGTATTATTCTTCTACTTGTTCCCTTCCCAATGTCTTCTCTTTGTTTTCAAATCTTAAAAACAAACAAACAAATCCCTTGCCTAACTATTTATTTGCTTGTGGAAGTCAGAAGATAATTTATAAGAGTTAATTCTCTCAACAGTTACATTCTGAGGATTGAATTTAGGATCGGCAGGAAGCATCTTTAGCCACTAAGCTAGCTGTCTTGCCACCCTGCTTTCTCCTTTTTGAAAATCTAGTTTCTCTTAAGAAAGAAAACTTAAAAGGTGGGGCCCTGGAGAGCTAGCTCAGTGGTTAAGAGCACTTGCTGCTTTGCAGAGGACCCAGGTTCAGTTCCCAGCACCCACAAAGGTTGCTCACAGCTATTTCTAACTCCAGGATATCTGATGCTTTCTTCTGGCTTCCATCAGCACTGCACACATATGGTGGACTAACACGTACATAGGCAAAATATTCATGTACATTAAATGAAAATAAACAAAACTTTAAAAAGAAGAGAATCTACATACTACTTGTGTTTGTGACCCTGTCTTATCATTTGCCCACACGATCCTCTCTGGTTCCATCCATGTTATTGCAAACAATATAATTTAGTACTTATTGAGTAATAATTTGTTGTGTAAAATGGCCTTTCCCCCTAGTTATGTGAATTTGTAATTTGTTATAGTTTATTTGGGTCACTTTCTCTGTATTATACATGCTAACTGAACTTCAGAACTGTCTGTTTAGGTTTTTTTTTTTTTGACTTAGAGACTCTGTATGCCTCTGTTTTTCAAGTGTTGGCTTTAAAAGCTCCTATATTAACTTTTAGGGACTATTTTATTCTGTTTTAATTCTGAAAATATTCTTTCCTAAATAAAACTATATTTAGATTTTCTATTTTCAGTTTTGGTGGAGCAGTTTTTTCTTTTCAATTATTTTTATTTGTATTGGTGTTTTTGTCTGCATGCATGTCTGTGCAAGGGTGTCAGATCTTGGAGTTATAGTTGTGAGCTGCCATGTGGGTGCTAGGAATTGAATCCAGTTCCTTTGAAATAACAGTCAATGCTTCTAACCACTGAGCCATCTCTCCAGCCTAGAGCAGCTTTTTTTACTTGTTAAAAGTAGTTAGTTTCTTTCTGCCTTGCAGTCTCCCTCCCTTCTTCCCATCTTTCTTTTAAAACTGTTGTAATCATTTGAAAATGGAGAGTGATAGCTGTGTGAGCTTTACAGGATAAAGGGTTTTGACAAGGAAGGTCTAGTAATATGTTTGGGGCTAACAATACTTTGTAGCTATTTTTTTTTTTTTTTTAGGTTGTGGGGGGAGGTCTTCCTACATAGCTCTGTACTGGTACTTTTTGTAGACCAAGCTGACCTAGATTTGATACAACAGTCTATTGTATTGTGTTTTCTCTGTGTAGGTTTCACTTTTTGAACTCTGCATTGTTCCTTTCTCAAGTGAGGATTGTTATTTTTGAGTACCACAGTCTTAAAATGTTATTGTTGATCTAGTAAGTCTTCACAGAAAAAAAAATCACAGAGAGTAGAGATTGTACAGACCATCTCAAATTTTAGGAACTTTGGGCTTTCTTGGCTAGAGAGGACTAAAAAGACGTAAATATTCTAAAGTCTTTGAAGGATTATGTTAGAAGAGATGAAAGAGACTTGAACACTTAGGGCCAGTGGTGGATATTATGATTCATATATTTCAGTTTAACGCAAAGTCATTATAGCTTCCTAACAATGAATTTTCTGTATCTGGGTGAAGGTACATTTCATTGGAAAGTGGTAATCTTAATTGTCCACTGATGTTAAGATTAAGTTATTACACACATACACACATTTCTCTCTAAACCTGTGTCTAAGCATCCATACATTACTATTGTAATATTTCAGGAAATAATTTGAAGTATGACCTTCACATATGCCCTGCTACTACTCTACTAGTTGTCTGTGTGTCCGTGTGCACTGTCAAGAAATAATAATCTCTAATGGGACTTTCTTACAGACCAAATATCTTTTCTGAATAATAACTGTAGGAACAGTTTGGTTATTTACTCCCTTAATATAATTGAGGTAGAAATACACTTTTTTTTCCCTCTCTGTACTCTTTTCCAGGGTGATGTTAGAGCTTCTTTATACAAAGGAGGCAGAGGATGACAAACCCAATAACCTTTGAAGTTAGTCTACTCCAAGCTCACACTATGTTTATAATTTTGGATGTGTCTATTAATTGACAATTTTAGTTTGATTTCCAATAGATATCTTAAAATTTTCTAAAAATAATTTATTTTATATGCATTGGTGCTTTGCCTTAATTATGCCTGTATGAGGGCATCAGTTTCCCTGGAATGAGTTACAAGCAGGTCTGAGCTGCCATGTGGGTGCTGGGAATTGAACCTAGGAAGAGCAGCCAGTGCTCTCTCTTCACAACTGAACCATCTCTCTAGGTTGAATAGATATCTCTGTGTGTGTGTGTGTCTATGTGTGTGTGTCTGTGCACTTGCATGTGGAGGTCTGATCACAATTTGGTGTGTTCCTCTTTCTCAAGCACTGTTCTTGTTAATTAGGATAGGCAGGACGGTTGGCCATCGAGCCCCAGCGATCTGTGTGTACCCATCTCCTCAGTTCAGGGTCTCTAGGAAGGTGCCACTGTGCCTTTTATTTAAAAAACAAATACTTTTATTTAATGTTGTGTGCACCATGTAGTGATGCCTGAGGAGCCAGAAGAAGGCATTTGGTCCTCTAAACTGGAGTTACAGATGGTTTATATGGGTGCTGGGAGCTGATCTCTGGTCCTCTCCAAGAGCAGCAAGTGCTGTTTACCACTGAGCCATCTTTCCAGCCCTGTCTATTGTTTTATGTAAGTGCTGGGATCAGACTTGAGTCTTCATGCTTGCGTGGTAAACACGTTATAACCAACTCATTTCTCCAGCTCTCTAATAGATAACTTTAATGATTTTTTCTCCATTGGCAAAATGGTTGTGAATAGTTTGTGTCTGTGTGTGTGCGCGCATGTGTGCATGTGTTTCTTTATTTTACTTTTGGTTCTTCCATTTATAGTGAGGTCTTTTTTTTTTCCTTTTGCTTCTTATGTTCAATATTAGGGCAATAACTTTTCTTTTTCTTACTATTTGGAAAGTATTTAATATTAAAATAGTATTTTTTAAAAATGACTGAGTTCGTTTCAAACACACCTTACATTATTTCCTTCAGCTCATTGTATGTCAAGTAATAAGAAATGCCTTGTATTATTTATTTAGTTATAATTTATTGTACTATTTAATATACAATTTGGATTATTTTATGACAGCCCTAAGATTGTATGTTTATTTCTATGCATGCTAAAAACAGCAATGTAAATTTCCTTGTGGATGTCATTTGGATTATCTCATAATGATAAGTCTTAGTGGAATGGCTTCTGAGATCTGTTATACAAGGCAACTAACTTTATACTCATTCTTTCATGTGACTACAAGTCATTCATACTTTATTGATTTACTTTAAAAATTTGTATAATTTATATTCATAAATCCTTGGTAAGTAGTTTAGATTCTTTTGTCAACAGTGCTATAATTTTGAAGATCATTTTCAGCTATCTACTGTTGTATATTAATGTACAGTAATAATTTCAAGAATAATTATTTATATTCTATTATAATGCTGCTGGTGACATTTCACATGGAAGAAAATGGATTTAAATATTATTTCATAATTGTCTGCATGGTTGACATTATGATCCTTTTATGAGGGATGGAGAATGGGCTCGTTTAAGTTGAGAGAGGTTATCCCTGAAGTAAGGAACTAGTTACAGTTGTGGATTTTATTTACTCTTTTGCATAGTGATATTAATAGTTAATATTAGTCACAAACTTATCACAAGTGTCCCATTTAGAGATTTTAATCTGATTGAGTGTTTTTGATTTCTTGGTGACTTTTAGAAACTGACAGAAGAGAAATACCAAGTGGAACAATGTATAAGTGAAGCTTCCATTATAATTCGGAACACGAAAGAGCCCACACTGACTTTGAAGGTGATACTTACTTCTCCTCTAATTAGGGACGAATTGGAGAAGAAAGATGGAGGTACATGTGTGTATATATATCCACATACATACATATCTATGTTTTGTTTTGTTTATGTAACAGCTCTTTTCCATACTGTGATAACTATGTTTTGGGATTTAGGAGATTACAGACTTCATTTGCTTCTGTATGCTATCCCATGATATTTTTAAAGTTTTGTTTTTACATAGTATATTTTGTAGTTTCAGAGACCTGAGTATCATGTGGGCTTTAATTCTGCTTTAATTTTCCTACATTTCGATGATCTGCTTTCCTTCTTTTAGTATAATTTGAAGTCATTGGTCTCTGCTAACCAGTTCTATTATACTGGCTTACTGATCAGATTCAGAATTAAATATAGAATTAAATATAGAAGTATTTTAAAATTTGCTTGCTTATTTTGAAATTATTCACATGTTGTGTTTGACTTCTAATAATTACATACCCTTAAAACTTTTAGTTACTTGCTGGGCAGTTGGGGCGCATGCCTTTAATCCTAGCACTTGGGAGGTAGAGGCAGGGGATCTCTGTGAGTTTGAGGCAAACCAGGTCAACAGAGCAAGATCTCAGGACAAACTGAACTGTTACACAGAGAAAACCCTGTTTGGAAAAACAAAACAAAACAAAAAAAGTTGAATTTCTTGTGTGTACATTTGGTTTATAGAATAAAAAGTATTAGTGAGTATATTTTACTCTTTTAATCTTCAGAGAGTGTATTTGTGTGTGTGTGTGTGTTTGTGTGTGTGTATGCGCATATGTGCACACACGTAAATTTTTATTTTGGAGTCAGGGTTTCCTGGCATAGCCCTGTTGACTTGAAATTTGCTATGTAGAATTGTATGGCTTTGAACTCAGATACTTATGCCTGCTTCTACCTCTTCAGTGCTGAGATTAAAGGCTTGAGCCAGTTCACCTGCCTTGAGTAAATTTTTGAGAAACTTTTTACCCTGTTACATTTTAAATAAGATGTGTGTTAAAAAAAAATCACTGTATGACACTGTCATTCTAATAAATATAGAACAGAAATTTACCTAACTGTTGCTAGTTTTGAAAAGTAATGAGGTATGTATGGTGATCTTCATTTTCTTATGTTTTATCTTTTCAAGTTATCTTTTCGTACTCTTAGTCCAATTCAAAGATAAATGCCATGAGATATTTTCACTGTGTTGGACCTTTGACCTACTTAGCACTCTGTCAAAACAATTTCAAGGCCCTATGGTATATATGGGCCAGTAGAATATTTGCTATCTCATTTCATACCCCTTTAGCACAAATACCACGAAAGTAAAACGGAATAGGTCAGTTTTGTAGTTTATTTCAGATTGTTAAATATAGAAAAAGGCACACTTAACTGTGAAGTAGATTTTTGAGTTTTAGTTCCTAGACATGAATCATAGACTCATGGAACTAAAATAGATGGTCATCTTTTTAAAGTTTTTTTGGGGGAGGGTAGGTGGATTAGGTTATGTGGCCGACTAAAAGTCAGAAACCAGATACATTTTTGAGTCATTCAAATAAATAAAAGTACATCCAATCTATAGTTGAGTTTATTGCCTGTACTTTATTCCTTATGTAACATTTTGTAGCACCTTGGAAGAACCATTCTCTTAAATGGCTTAATTTTTTTTAACAGCAGATCTATGATTTCTGGTTTTCTGGTGTGTCAAGATGAGTTAATTTTGGTAAGCTGTGTTCTACTTGACCCTGTTGTACAAAACCAGCCATTTCTATGTAGAGTTGTAATTATAGGTGCTACTAAACATTATTTTTTCAAGGTTTTGTTTTTTGTTGGATGTTTTTTGAGATATGGTTTTTCTGTATAGCCTTGGTTGTCCTGGAACTTTCCCTGTTGGACAAGGTTTGCCCTAAACTTACAAAGATCTACTTGCCTTTGCCTCTTGAGTGCTGGGTTTAAAGGTGTGTACCACTACCACCTGGCTCTAAACATTATTTTTATATTGAGAGATGTTTGTTTATATCTGCTCCTTGCCTTACCTTTCATGGTATCAGGAAAATTCAAAGCTTTTTCTCTTGTGGTTTTGTGTACTTACGTGGGATTTTTTTGTCATAGCTGTCAGTTTTGATTCCCTCAGGCTTAACCTGTTGTTTAAAAACCTTAATTTTGGTACAGAGATACTGAAAACAGGCTCTGTTAATCACAGATTGGGGATTTGTATCAAACAGATTTACAGTCTTTTTTTGAGGTGTTTTTAGTTACTAAGGGTCTAAAGTCTTCCCTGTGCTGACTCATCAGCTGATGTGAGTTTAGTTAAGGTTAAGGCGTAAACTTGGAGCTGTTTTTTTTTTTTTTTAACAGATGTTACTTCTCTTCTTGAATGACAGGAAGTTTTTCTTTGCTCTTCTTAACAGCTCAGCCCCATTGACCAACTTGATTATTTCACAGCTTATTCATTTTTTCTATGGGGCCTTTGTCATAGACACCTTTTTGTCTATTTCCTGGGCTACTTGGAACATCCAACATAATTAATTGAGCATCTGCAATCTGGATTATGTAGTTCTGTTTGTTCACCTAGACACTATTCTTTCCCTTGATGTAAATCTTTCCATCTGCATACGATGGAAACACAAAGCACATTTAGCTTTCAGGGATATTGGGCACTGAAAGCTCTTCCCTTCTCTTCATTTTCTTTCTCAAAGTTAAGCAATGTCTTGTATTATCTTCCTCCATCTCAAGACATTGTATTATAGTATTCTGACTTGCTTTACCACTCCCAAATACACAATTTGCAGCAGATACACAAATTATCTATTTTTCTTCCCTGTCTTAACTTGCTAAGTTTGACAAAATCTAAACGAGAGGAAAGAAAGGTTGAGAACAGGCAGAGCCAGAGGACTGGGGCTAAGATAGGTCATTGGATTTCTCTTTAATATTTTCTGTGTAGAAGTGGATAACCATTCATTTCAAACCACCATTTATTTTTTAAGTTGTCAAGAGTGAATGAAAAATAACCTTTTTGAGGCAGGTGGATGGATACCTTACCTGAGTTCGAGACCAGCCTGGTCTGCAGAGTGAGTTCCAGGACAGCCAGGACTACATAGAGAAACCCTTTCTCGAAAAACAAAACAAACAACAACAACAAAAAAGTCTGTTTTAAAAAAATGTCACAGGGGCTGGAGAGATGGCTCAGTGGTTAAGAGTATTACCTGCTCTTCCAAAGGTCCTGAGTTCAATTCCCAGCAACCACATGGTGGTTCACAACCATCTGTAATGAGGTCTGGTGCCCTCTTCTGGCCTGCAGGCATACACACAGACAGAACATTGTATACATAATACATAAATAAATATTAAAAAAAAGTCACAAGTAAGACTTCTTGTATGCTAGCATAGTTTAACCCTTTACTAGAAAGCCATTTCTAGTACTAGGTATGTCCTTAAAAAAAAAGTACAAGAGCAAAAGCACAGATCTTGCTGCATAACATCTGTGTGTTCAATTGTTCACCTTATTAGTTTTGTGTGACATTGGACACACTTCTTAATTTCAAAGTATAGATAATAAAGAAACAGTAAATTGTTTGCAGCGTTCAGTGAGAGACTACATATACAGTGGGGTACACAACTAACTTCAGTAGTGAAGCACAAAAACTACTCTGCTTACTAAACACTGTTGTGTACTCAAACTGTCTCAACAGAGTGATGTGGTTATACTAGGTTTAGACAGCTGAACTTTAACATAGCTGAACTACTTATTTATTAATTTTTAAGTTTATTTTTGAGACAAAGACTTAGTATGTAGCTCTGACTGCGCTGGAACTCACCAAGTACGTCAGGTTGATACACCAGGCTAGCCTTGAACTCAGAGATCCTCTTGCCTAAGTAAGCCTCCTGTATGTAACCCCTGCCACACTCATCCACTTAGCTAAACTTTAAACCACACTTGAAATATGCAGTATTAGTTAGTGTACAGTGTACTCTGTGGTGCTAGTAATGAGCTGGCTTGTTGTGTAGTTATGTTCCTTGGAAGGCAGGTGTCTTTTCTGCCGCCTCCTCCTCCGCCTATCCTTTGTCCTAAGCACCTAGCACCGTACCTGATACAGAGGTAGATTACTAGAGAGTACCATACGTTAATCTTCACAGGGAATGTTCAGTCAACATACTGTCTGAGAAAATATAGTACAGTGTATAAAAAACAGAAAAATTAACAATAGGCAACATCTTACATGGCTTGACTAATATTTGTTGGAGATTTATTTCTGTTAGTGTTATACCCACCATGTTATAATCCACATATAAATAAAAAGAAAAAACTCACAGTGGCCTTAGAAGGGAGGTAACTGTTGGGCTGTTATAAGCAGGAATGTATCATATTTTGTTTAGCTAATCTGATAGAGTCCAGTATAGAATCCTCTAGTCCCTTCTTGCCTGGGGTTTCTGCATGGACTTGTAGTTGATTGTTTCTTTCTGACCATAAATAACATGACCTTAACTTTGGTGCTTGTGATTTTATAATAGAAATATATTTGCTATTGGGGGGGATGATAAATTGTTAAAAATTATGTTTACATTGCAGTTGTAAATTAAGAAGATAGTGAAAAATAGTGTTTTCTGTCATACTACTGAGGTAGAGTCAGAGCTTGATAGAGAAGAGTTGTTCTAGAGTTCCTTTTCACCTGTTGATGCCAGGGTGGACTTCTGGCTCTTTTTGGCAGAGGTTCACAGGTATATTTCCTGTTAGGGTCAGGACAGTAGATTGGTGCAGTCCATAATTGTGCTGCAGGTTTTATTTTCCTGCCTTCCCCAGGTGCTGAATATGCCCTATGCAGAGCTAACCTATGGTCATTTTCTTTCTGGGGCTTTATTATCACAATGATAGTGTTTGTGGCATAATTAGACTAAGAGGATAGTGCTTCTTGGTTCTACCTTATTGCTACATCTGTTTGATCATATTACTATGTCCTTGTGTTTTTTTCATGAATGGTAGTTCAGACATAATGTCTTTGCAGAAACTTCAAGGAATTGAGAGAAAGGAGATTTGAGAATATCCTTAGACATACTAAAAAGT